TAGGGAGCGATGAGGGCTCCCCTCAGCCTCCTCTGCTCCAGGCTGAACACCCCCAGCTCCCCCAGCCGCTCCCCAGCAGCCTGGGGCTCCAGCTCATTCCCATCCCACGGATACACACTGGACCAAGCTGCCCGCCTGTCAACTCAAGGACTTTCCACCTGCAAAACCCCGGCAGCCATGCAGTTTGCCAGCACAGGTCAGGACGTGGTCGAGCCACAGCGGGCCACGGCTCTGTGCCTAAGGCCACCAGCCAGGAGCTGGCACTTGCCACATCGATGGGATGCTGGTCCAGACCTGGCCAGATTAGCCCTGGAGGGCTTTGGGCAGGATGCGCATCACCCCTGCTGCCAGGGCACCCCTGCTCTGCCCCCTTTTGCAGCATCGCTATGTTCCTCCCCTTCCTCTTTCTGCTGAGCGGAGTCCTTGCAGCCTCTCCCTCCCTCTCTGAGGCGTTTTCTCCAGGTCTTGAATTGCTTTTGTAACTGTGCCCTCTTCGGACTTTCAACATCCTCTGGAAAATTTGATTTCACACCGTATTTGTATGTTTAACAAAAATAATTCCAAACACCAAAAACAAGCCGTGCCCCGACTGGCGTTACGTAGCATTTGTGATAATTGGATTCTCAGAAAGCCAAGCACTTTCTGGGTTTTAATGAGATTCAAACTTTAATTACTGCGTCCCTTTCCCAGGCATGCAGTGGAAGCAGGGAGGAAAATGACCATAATCAGGTCTTCGGCATGTTGCAAGAGACGGCCTCGATGGATCGCGTTTCGGTCCCTTAATGAGGGGCCATTCTTGCCACGCACAGTTGGAAAGCCAGTTTCTCTTGCATCGTGGCCCACATTTAGAATCATAGAATAGAATCATAGAATTGTCTAGGTTGGAAAAGACCTTTAAGATCATCAAGTCTGACTGTTAACATAACACTGCCATCCCACCACTAAACCATGTCCCTGAGCACCTCATCTGTCCTTATTTTAAATACCTCCAGCGATGGGGACTCGACCACCTCCCTGGGCAGCCCATTCCAGAGCCTGGAACCCCTTAGGATTTTGGCCACAAACCACTGCCGCATCCTCTCAGAAGAAGGCGATGGAAAGCCAGCTCCTGGACCTGCAGGACAAGAGAGGGAGACAAGGACATGTCGGGAGCTGGCGCAGACTTTCATTAAGGTCTTGATAACGAGTGATATAACGCAGGGTGGTCCTTGGGCAGGTCCAGGGTCCCTGCAGGACCGGCGTTAGCTTCCTACAAGCCCCTTGCACGGCTCTTCTCGTGCACAGTGCAGATCCCAGGAAAATCTTGCCTGTAAGGCTTGGATGACTCATTTGCTGGCTTTCTTACTTCCCCGCCTCCATCCTGGAGGATGCAGTGTTTTGCCGAGCCTTATCTGCGCTGAGGTTGGAGAAGGCAGCTGAATGCAGTGGTTTCATGTCTGCAGAGTGACGGAGGGATGGGGTCATTAACAGAAATGCTTAAACTTTATCTGGGAGGAATCAAGATGCCACGTGGTCATCTGAGAGGATCTTTAAATTGCAATGTTCAGCCTGTGGGTCGATGTTCAGATCCAAGTCAAGAGAAATCCATTAAAAAAAAGAAAAAAAGGCTTTGTTAGACACTGCATCAAACTGCACAAATGAGCTGATATATCGCCTTATGATGCTCCCGCATCCACTCGTTTTGTAGGCTGACAAGAAATCTCACCGTCTATGTGTTCTCGATAGCCCCATGGCTTAACTTTTGTTATTCTGTCATACTTCAGATGGTCAGGGATTTATGTCGCACCCTGTCTTTCCCCTTGCCGTATTCGGGACCGAAGTCAGAATTGCCAGGTAAAAATTTCCAAGATTGCTCTTCTTTCCGTTTCCTGACCTCTTTTCCAAGTTCCCAGCTATCTCCCCAGTTTTCCATCACTTAACAAAGGTCAGCGCTGTGGCTTCTTTTCCTCTCTCAGCAGTCTGGAGCACACGCTGTCCTTGCCTAATACAGGCAAGCATTTTCTTGGAATTACCTTCTTTTTAATTGCTAGCCGGTTTCGCATTCAGTCATGTACTCTAGATGCCTACACAGCGAGACGTGACTGCTTTTTGCTGGCAGCAGGGGAAGCCAAGGTCTAAGCAAGCAGGAGCAGTGGGTGGCTTGAATTACTCTTGACACGAGACGCCCCAGCAGTCGCCGTGGGCAGGTTTGGCACCCCCAGTCTGCCTGTGATCTCCATCGGTTCCTGACATTACCCAGCATTTCCTCTGTTGGCTGGACATTGGCAACCGGGTCGGCTTAGGAGGAGGAAATCCTTCTTCATGGCTGTGGGGTTGGCAGTGAAGTTGCCACATGGGGAGCTGGGGCAGATGCTCGGGGTGGAGGAGCTCGGTGGGGCCGGTGCTGTGAGGGAAAAGCCTTGCACGGGGCTCAGAGCACCCCTGGGGATCTGCTTTTTGTGGCCATCCCCTCCAGCATTGCCCAGGCGATGTCTGGCAGAGCAGGTATACATCTTCTAGCCCTCATCCCCCAGAGACAGACCTGTCTCTCTGGTACTTCTTGGGCTGGCGTTTTTTTTTGCAAGCCCTTCGCCCCCCTCTAACTGTTCTGTAGCATCGATCCCCAGGTCAGTATTTTGTTGTTGTCCTTCCCCCCAACTTCCCTTTTCCCGTGCAAACTTGGCTTGACTCATACTTTCTTCTTTCCTTGCTCTGCCCTTTTCCTTTTCCAGAACAAGCTATTTTTATCCTCAGAGCTGTGTATTCCTGGGGGGAGCCATGTCTGCTGCTGCTGCCCTGCCGGAGGAGGCACGGCTGTTCTGCCTCCCCTGGGCTCATTTTTAGGGCTCCGTAGCAGGCACAGGTGGTAGGTGCTCCCCAGACATCCAGGGCAAGCAGGGAGTTGGGAACTGGAAGCAAATCCATAGCTTCGGGGTATGTGTAGGGATGTATCCCGTGAGGTTACAGCACACCCTTGAGCTTCTTCCAGTTTTGCATGGAGCCAGATTCCCCACCTTTGATAAAGATGACTGGATTCATGGCGAAGGGCAGAAATAAGGGTCCTGGGGAAGATGAGAGGGTGAACCGGAGGGCTCGGTCCCATGGGCTCACAGCCTCACCTTGCAGAAGGGCACAGGCAGCCTTAGGCCCCATTGAGACAAATCCCAGGAACAAAGTGCCTGCATAAAGGCTCTTACCCTGGGGCTTATGCAAAGCAAACTCCTTCGCTCCCTGCAGCAACCAAGGACCTTGAATTCCCTGCACGTAAGTCTGGACGAGCAGGAATAGATGAGCAGGTAATGCAGGATGACCTGTGCAGGAAGCAAAGTCCCTTGCTAGGTGTCCAGACTGGAAAAGGGCAAGCTACCTTCTGGGCTGTCCGTCCTGTTACACCCAGGACCAGGAGAAACTGCAATCTGCTTGGCTCGTGTCATGCAGGACCATGTCAGGACACAATCTGAATGTTGTCCTGTGTCCCAGTCTAAACCAGGAAGGAAAAACCCATGCTGGGTGGGGTTAGGAGGGAGCTTGTTTTATTCCAGCACGTGTTGGACTGATGCTCTCTGGACCCTGCTCTTCCAGGTGCCCATGTTGAAAGACATGGTGACTTGGGTCATGCTCATGTCTCTCTTCTCTGGCATTGGGTAGGGTTTCCTCCACCTCTGGCACATCTGGAGCGGGACTTGTCTTTCTCAGCTGTGTGAGGAGGCCCCTGAGCCCCACAGCTAATCCATGGATGTGGGAGCAGGTCGGGAAAGCAGCACGGATGGCACTCACACAGCCCACAAACCTCTGAGCTCTGGCTGCCAAGCCCAAACAGATGACTGCCCGTAAGCATGAGTCCATCCCAAGCCTTCAGCAGTCACAGGACCGTTGTCTCCCTCCTCTTCCCAGGAAGCAGATTGCAAAACCATGTAACCGCAGAGACTAGCAGTGTCTGAACAGGCTCAGGCACCAGTCCATGCCCATCTGTGGCTCCTGGGAAATTTATTCCTATGGGGCGGGAGAAGCTGAATGTGGTGGGAAGTGAAGCATCCTGCTGGGTACGCAACTCTCCTGTCTCCCCAGAAAACAGAAACGCTGCCTTGCAATGGACTTAAAACTTCTGGATCTATAGGAAAAAGACAACCCTGTCCCATGTGTCATCCCATCCCACCCTCCCAAACAACCTTTTGCAGGGGGCAGCCCTTAGAGTCAGGCTCTGGGTAGTACACAGGAGGCCATTTGGGTGGATTTGCTGGCGAGGACAACCTCTGGAGAAAAAAAAAATGCAACTTGAGACCCATCAAATGATCTGCACTGAGAGGAAATGCTTATTCTTTCACGTAATATTATTTTTCTCTTTGGTGGAGAGAAAATTCATCCCTCTTCATGGGTCTCACTTATTTTCCAGTCAAGCCTGGGTGCCAAAGAGGGTCTTAAGTGGAGCATCTAGCCATGGCATGGAGGGTGATCTTGATGAATAGGTACATCCTTCCCCAAGCCCTGCCCTTCCCAGAACTGCTGCCAGTATTTCCCACCTACTTAGTACGAAACCATAGACACAACAGGAAGCAATTCTCTAGAATAAAGCAGCCTTCCTGAGACTTCAGAGATTGGGCACAACCCCTCCCCTGGGAGCTCTGGGATGGGGCGGTGGGTTTGGCATGCGGCTGTCTTACGGCAGGCAATGCGCCGTGGAAGCGTGTCCATGGACTTCCATTTCGTCAGGCCTGGCAAGTGAAAGGATGCTCTCCTTTTCCAGAGGTCAGGCATCACTCCTCCTTACGGACCTCTAAGCAAAGATCGGGGAATGCAGGTGATGGAGAGGATCCATTCCAGGTTATCCCTGTTCCTCCTCTCCTGGCTGCTGGCTGCAGAGATCCCGAGCGAAGTGCCCGTGCAGGGTGAAGAGCAGTTGCCAGAAGCAGCTGAGATGGTTTGCAGCTGGCTAACCACTGCTGGGGAAAAAAGAAGAAGGGAGTTGGCATCGTCTCCACGTGGCCTGTGGCTGGACACTCAACAGGAAACAGGGAGAGCCCAGCAATCTCACTGGAAAAGTCATCTTTTGCTCAGATCAAAGCCTGAGACTGTCTCCAGGATGAGAAAATAAATAGAGAGCGTGAGAAATGTCGGCTCATTCAGAAAAGACGCAAGGGGAGAAATGTGCTTTCGTGGCGTGGCCGGAAAGTGAAAAGAGCCAGGCTGGGAAGGGTGGAACAGCAGATCACAGCGGCGCTACCAGGAGGGCACTGGGACAGCACTGGTGGTTAATAATTTTCTGATACAGTAAGAAGAGGTTAAAAACATTTGTGCGTGAACCCAGAGCACAATTAGTAGTGAGTCACGGAAAGCGTTGTTCCAGCTACTGTAAAAACAAGCCAGCGCTGAAGGGGTCTGCTGGCCATTTGAAAGCATCGAGAGCTTCCGCCCAAGATTCCTTCCTTAATTGCACCACTCTCGGGCACTCGCTCGAAGTTAAGCGGACAGGAGCACAAGAGAGCTAATGCACTGCTCTGAAAGGCAAACTATTAACCAAAGTGTCTCTCGGATGTTTAACTTCAAGGAGGCACGATTGAAATCTCATCAATTACGACCAGCGGACATGAGAAGGGCTTGAAGTTAATCCATAACGTAATTTGCAGAATAATAAAAATGAAAGATGTGAAATCTCTTTTTCAGTTGAGTCTACTTTGGTCCCCAGGGTGGGTTGATGGGGCTCTGTATCACGATTCCCACTGTGCTGCACCCATGCAGTAAATGCAGTGCAAGAAAAGTTTCCTTGATGCACTTTTGTTACTCAGGGGATGTTGCTATTGAGTATTTATGCTGCAGTTATGGATGTGAGCCCTGTCCATGTAATCCCAGGCATATTCCCTGCTTTTATCTTCAGTTTTCCCTTTCGGAAATCCCCCCAGTTATTCTCACAGCTCTTCTCCTGGATGGCAAACAGCTCTCTGCTGTCCCTGGCATCTTCTTCCTTCAAAGTCTTTGCACAAGTCCCCTGCCCTCAGCAGAGCAGTCAATGGGAACAATGAACTTAGGGGAGACCGTGACATTCCCGATTGAAAACCAAGATTGAGTCCTTCACTTCCCACTGTGCTGCTGACAGCAATACTACTTAGCACTCCTACCCTATGACGCATTACCCAAACATCAGCTAATTATCCTGCCTGACTCCTTAGAAAGTAGGCAATTAAGTATTTAGCTCCATTCTCCAGACGCAAAACCCGGACACAAAAAGAGGTTAATAGGGGAAAGGCCAATCCTACTGTGTAGGGTGGAGAGCATCCTTGCCGTTGGGAGGAGCAATGTTGAGCGTGGGGCTTGTCCTACCCATCTTGGCTGTCTGCACTACAGCTGAGCTTCTTCTGGAGTTGGTATAAAAAGACCAGCACCTTGGGAGAATGGTCCGTCCTTGCCCAAGATGCGTCCCATTGAGGTGGGCTGAATCATCCTCAAGGAAGAGCACCCAAGGAGTCCACCTTCTCCGTACTGCCGAGGGGAAGGGGAGCACCCGGGAAGGTGCAGATGCCTCAAGCAGACAGCACGGGGTGTTTCCAAACCACAGATGGCAACGTTGCCAGGATCAGCGCTCGTGAACTCCTGGATCCTGGGAAATATTTTGCTGGCGTCATTTAAGCCAACTTTGGTGTGCATCTTGAAGCACCGCGACAGAAAGCGGGCTGCAAGCTTCATCCCTCCTACTATCAATTTGGTGACCAGTGCTCCATCGCAGCCACGAACTGGGGCTATCTTTGGAGGGAGCAAATGCTGAAATAAACTATTTTTTAATGCAGAGAGAAAGTGTTTAGCAGAAAGGTCTTTAAAATAAAGCAACAGGAGTCCAAACCTAATAAGAAGAGCTCTAGCCATTGTGACTAAGTTCTCCGTAAAATGTGTAATTATGGCACTATAGCAACTACTGAGTTCCAAGGCACAATTTGCATCTGAAACACAGGACAGAGCATCCTCTTTGGGTGATTCAGAGCAATAATCACAACACCCAAGTGCTCTAGGTAGGAAAGGGAGAAGCGCTGAACCACGGCGGCGTGCAAGGAGCGGCGTGCGCCTGGCGTGCAGGCGCCATCCCAGTGGGAGCAGCCCTGCCCAGGACGAGTGCACCTGCCTGGGGGGGGGGAGAAGCGAGCAAATATTTTTAGCGGCACAGCTGCAAGCATCTCCTCTCGCTTGCTTCCTACGCGCGCTTGCTGAATCGCGGAGCGGAGCTGAGCGTGGGGGCGCATCACCCTGGTGGGCAGGGAGAGGGTGGCATGGGGGTGACATCAGAAAAGCACATTTTACCAAAGCACAGAGGGTGCCAGTATGATTTGTGCCGCTGGTCCCATCTCCCCAGCTTTTCCTGCCCTCGGGTGCCCCGTTTCAGTTCAGATGGGGCTGAGCACGCAAGGGTACCAAGGAGATTTGCTTTCCTCAGCGTGGCTCACAGCCACTTGCATCCCTTAAAAGGCATCTTCTGACTCAGATACGCTCCCCTCCATCGTCTGGGGCATGTTGTTTTGCAGCTGGAGGCTGGTGAATGAAGCTGAGTTACTGACCTTGATTTGAAAAAAAAAAAAAAAAAATAAAAATGCACGCTTGTGCTTTGTAGAACAAGCCTTTTAAAGCTGGCTTTCATGCAAAGAATTATGCCAATGCGTGTATGGAGGCGCTGGTATTTCAGGCCCCTTTCAATCTTCCGGATTGCCAGTGAGCTCTTTCACGGATTTAAGCCTTTAATCAAAGGACGGATGCTGCAAGAGGTGGTGAAGAGGACTCAAGCAGGTATTTAAGCGCGTGGCCTAGGAGCAGATGCTTGGATCAGGGCCTGGATCAGGAGAGGTGTTTTATTACGTCGAAGGAGGTATTGTTTTACCACGTTGTAAGGAGGCACAGATGATCCCTCTCCCCAAATGGGGGAAAAAATGAAATAACTGGTCTTTGCGGCCACTTTTCAGTGTGGAAACATATTGAGGCCTCACAGAAAATAGGTCTCTCAATCAGCTTTGCCACTTTTAATTCCCACCGTGACATCAGAATGAGAAATGATGATGAGTGAGGCCAGCTTGAGGAGTTTTTTGGAATTGCCTCTAGTCCCGCTCCAGCCTTGCCCACAGGCTAGAGGTGATTTTCTTGGAAGATGCTACGGGACAGAGCACACGTCTGGCTGGGGAGGATGCTCTCCAGCCCTGGCCCAGCGCAGACAGGTGGGTTTATTCCCCCTGCACCACGTACTGAGTTAAAATAGAGCCCTGGCTTTGCAGAGGGAGCTCGGTTAGGTGAGCGAGTGTTGCCAAAATCTGGTACGACAATACCCCGTCAGGCCAGCGCTCCGCTTCCGCTCAGAAAACAATAGTTTACACAACTGCAGCCCGCTTGAGGTTTTCGCCTTACTTCACGGCTGAGCAACGAGACCCCAAATGTTACAGCTCTGCCTAATGTCCTTGGCTCTGTCCTGCTTTGGAAGGAAACATGCTGCGGCCTGCGCTGCCAATGCTATTTCCTCTCGCTTGTCTTTAAAGGTCTCTTTTTCCAACAGCTGATCGGCTCCGCAGCTCCGGGGAGTATGTGAGATCCGGCTGGCCCACGATCTAGCTGGTATGGCCGCGTGCCATGTTGTTGTTTGTATTGCTTTCATTTTTTTGGCGTTACTTGGCTCTTCCACGCAACTTGTTTTCATCCTGAACTATGCGCTCATTACATATCCAAACACCCACGCAGGTTTTGCATGAGGGAACTCGGAAACACACGCGCAGTAGAGGAGCGAGTTTGTGACGGGGGAATGAGATATTTGTCTCGGGGCAAACACAAACAATTGTCAAATCCCCGAGCTGCCCGTGGTGGGACTTCAAGCTTACTGACAACAAGCATGTGAACGCTGTGCGTGCATCCTCCTGCCAAAGAGATGCGGGGGACATCTCCTGTGGTCACCTTGGCCTCTCCCAGCAACTCCAGCTACTGTCCAAGGCACCCGTCCAGGGACCTCCTGGCTCTCTGGCAGGCTGTGCCCCGAGTGCTAAAAGGACCCATTTTTGCTCCTAGGAAAGCTCTCGCTTCCCCTCTGCGGCCCCATCCTCAGGAAGCAGTCAGCTCCAGGCAGCATGGACCTACCCGGCTAGCTCAGGTCTGGCGGGCACCAAGTCATGCTGGAGGGTTTCAGCAAGGTCTCAAGTGAAGGGATCAAAAACCAGGCTGTTTGCTTCATAAGTGCCCTCTTCGGGGTTTTTCCCTAAAGCAGCGGGTCTGAGTCGCTGCTGGAGGCAGCGCAGGGCAGGGTGGGTGCCATTGGACCCCCCCCAGGTTGCATGGATCCAGCGTTGTGCATTAGCACAGCAAACACAGCGTGGCCCTGGATTAGCAAAGCGAGGTTCAGCTACTCATTTTTTCCGAGTCTCTCCCATTTTTACGGCCCCAGAGCTGCCGCAGCTGAGCTCCGATCGGGATGCAGGGAGCTCAGCTGGAGGCACACAGGCTGTCCAAATCTGCAGCACGCTGCTCCCATGCACAGTGTGCTCCTCCCCGCCCTGCTTGGTCCGCTCAGAACGTGGAAAAATGCTCTCCCAGCAGCCGCCGGTAACTGCATAGCGTTGGGCAGGCTGAGCCCAAGAAACCGGGGGACTCAGTTTGGGATTGCTTTACTTCCTCACAGCCTTCCCTATGCTGCAGAGGAATAAAGATTTTCCAGGGCTGTCAGTGCTGCACATTTCACCAGCATTTGCTTCGCTTTAAGTCCAAAATGCACTAAAAATAAGCTGGCTCGGCATCCAGATCTTGATTCAAGTGGTAACGGGATAGCGGGCAGAGAAACTCTCAGGGTGGTTTGCACGGTGCAGCAGCGAGCAAGGGGCTGCTGGCTCTGGCTCTGGCTCTCCCTCCTCCTCCTCCTCCTCCTCCTGGCTGCTGCAGGCCTGTCGCCAACCACTCGCTCGCAATCCCCTAAATTCAGTATTCGAAGGTCACAGGTTTTACACAGCATCACTCCTCTTGGGCTGGCTGTCAGCGAGGCTCCAAATACCGAGGCAGCACCTCTTCCTCCGGGGCTGGGAGTACATTATTAGCAAGACCCTTAGTAAACCATTTCTTTTAATACTCCTGGGGTAATTTTGGGAGGGGGATGCCCGCAGGCAGAAGTTTGGATGAGTGAAGCCTGAAATGCCACAGGAAGGCCACAAACTTCAAAAAGCCTTGTTAGCGCAGCAGCGGAGGGAGGTGTGGATGCCTGTGCCTCGTCGCGTGGACTTTGCTGCGTGGCTTTGATACCAGTGAAAAACGCTGCGAACCCCCCTCCTGGGAAGGGGTCTGGAGACGAAGCGCTTGCTGCTCCCCCTCGCTTTTAAAACACCCAGTTGATGTTCAGCCTTCAAGGCTGCTGAGTGAGTTTTTCATCCGCAGGCAGATTTTGCTGCCACATTCTCACTCGCTTTCCTAAAATAAAGGGGAAGGAAAAAAAAAAAATATCCTTGTGCTAATTTAATCTAGCCAGGCATCTTGCTGTCCTGCCTGATAATATCTCTCCAATCTGTCATTTCCAACAGACAACTGTTTATTTGTTTGTTCTTTCTTTTTTTTTTTTTTTTTTTTTTGTGGTCTTGAAATATCTCCTCTGCTTTCTCAAGTGGCCCAGAGCTGCCCCAGGGATGTCCCAAGCCTCCCCCTTGCTTTGGTGGGGGCTTTGGGTGAAAATCCCTTCTCCAGGAAAAACCTACAACAACCTCAGATGGAGAAACATGTCAAAGAATATCCGACTTACGTGCCGGTCTGTAGGTATCTGGGGTTTCAGAGCCATCCTCCTGGCACGCACTGGGCCAAAACACTGAGAAAAAACATGGTGCAGGTCTGGAGATCCCAACGGGAGCTTTCCTCCAAGCTGAGGGCAGCACTGCAGACCCAGAGGTGCACTGGTCCTGCCGGTGAATTATTCGGCCGCATCACCAGCAGAAGAGGAAGTGATTAAATACAAGTTATTCCCTAGAATCCACAGCAAAAGAAAAAAAGAAGGTATTAAAATGCAACAGCAGACAAGACATGGGAAACCACTTGAGTTCCTTCCCACAGCCTGGACCTCCAGGTTGCCTCTCCATGAAGTACATAGATGAGCTGTTGTATGGATCAAAAAAAAATGACCCAAGGAAAAAAAAAAACCAATTAATTCTGGTACCCGGCGCTCAATTTGCACTTGCTTTTGAACAGGACTTTTGGTCAAAAGCTAAACCTGGGCACCACTTGGTCATCTGCATTTTCATTTTACTTGTTATTTGGTTTTATTTATCTATTTACTGTTACTTAAGGTGACTTTAATAGCTTTAACTCCTTGGAAAAAAAAAAAAAACCCAACCCACCCAGTATTTAGAAATCGGCAGAAGTGTCCAAACAAACTTCTTGGGAAGTGGAACATGGTCAAATATTCAGCTGATAAAATGGAGTGAGGGAGGATAACTGTGCTACCCACGACAGGGATCGGTGCAGGAGCTGGCATGGCATCAAATCCCACTGGGTTTTCCTAGATCCCTTTCCCAAGCACCCACCCATGGCTGGGACCACTATGGGGCTGGGAAAGGAGACATCCCCTTTGGTAATCAACACCCCACACCAGTCCTGTGCTGCTTCCCTGAGACCCACAGCCCACCTTGGCCCCATGGGACATCCCCTTGAGCCCCATCTCAGCACCATGGGGCATCCCCCTGAGCCCCACCTCAGCACCATGGGGTGTCCCCCTGAGCCTCATAGCCCAATGCAGCCCCATGGGGCATCCCCTTGAGTCCCACCTCAGCCCCATGGGGCATCCCCTTGAGCCCCACCTCAGCCCCATGGGGTGGCCCCCTGAGCCCCATAGCCCACCTCAGCCCCATGGGGCATCCCCTTGAGTCCCACCTCAGCCCCATGGGGGTGTCCCCCTGAGCCCCACAACCCAATGCAGCCCATGGGGCCCCTTGAGCCCCACCTCAGCACCATGGGGTGTCCCCCTGAGCCCCACAGCCCAATGCAGCCCCATGAGGAGGTCCCCTGAGCCCCACAGCCCAATGCAGCCCCATGAGGAGGTCCCCTGAGCCCCACAGCCCAATGCAGCCCCATGAGGAGGTCCCCTGAGCCCCACAGCCCAATGCAGCCCCATGAGGAGGTCCCCTGAGCCCCACAGCCCAATGCAGCCCCATGAGGAGGTCCCCTGAGCCCCACAGCCCAATGCAGCCCCATGAGGAGGTCCCCTGAGCCCCACAGCCCAATGCAGCCCCATGAGGAGGTCCCCTGAGCCCCACAGCCCAATGCAGCCCCATGAGGAGGTCCCCTGAGCCCCACAGCCCAATGCAGCCCCATGAGGAGGCCCCCTGAGCCCCACAGCCCAATGCAGCCCCATGGAGCACCCCTCTAACCCCCACAGCC